ACAACCGAAATTCAAAATTTCGGAAGTTGATTAATTTAATAGTCCACTCCGAATATACTTGTGCAATTCTCGTTTTGTTTTGCGTTGCTCGTGAATGTATAACGCGTTTATTATTTACCAGGTGAAAATTCATCAGTGGCGTAATTAGTTTAGCCACTGACGCCCTCGCGTTATTTACCTCCGATGCAATTGAGCGAAATTATAAATAACAAATCCGTGCCACGTTCCCGCAAAATTACAAGGTTTTACAACTCGTTATAAAATAATAATTGTTCATCGTTCTCCATATTTCATTCGCGCCCGTATTTCATCCCAGCCGAACGGTTATTTATTGTTAAATAAAATGACGTTATTAATGCCTTTGTTAATAAATACTATTATATCGTGCATTAAAAATATTACGCATTGTATGTTGCTAATAGACTGAGAATTTTGCGGGGGAAAATTTGGAAATGCGAAAATGCGTGAAAATGCAATGACGTATAAAACATTCAAAATGCTTCCTACAATTTCATAAATAAAAGATACTTTTATTATTATTATTATTATTATCTGCTCCTTTGTCATGCTGACTGCAGTTTTCCCACCTTTCCTTCGCCCAATAAGTTGCCCAATTGAAATATGCCAAAAATCTAGCGACATATACCACGTACTAATCTAAAAATGTTCCCCTCTCTGTCTCTTTTTTTTTCAGAAAATGCACAACTACCAGCTGAGCGAGTCCAATCATTTGAGAGTGTCATTCTCCAAGAGCAATATCTAACAAGAGTCACAACCAAACAACCGGCAGTGGTACCAGCCCTACGCCCTAGTCCCCTTTTGGATACCCGGCTCAGTGTATGACTGATGACGATAACAAATGACCGACGACGACGACGTTCCTCGCCGACGAGGGTGCGGTCAGTCGCTGGTCTCCATTGCCGCGACGCATTGGCTGGCCACCCTCTGGATCTCAGCAGAAGGAAACGAACGCTTCCTCCGCAGCGAAGCCGGACAACAACCACCGAGAAAACGCGCACGACGATCGTGCGCGGTTCCCCGTTTCTATTTTTCTCAGACAGGCCGTCTTTTCAAGAGCATTTCCCCACAACCAGCGTACCAGCAGACACCATTACACACACGCACACACAAAAGAATACAAGAATGACAAAAAAGGATTAGGGCTGCGACAACAGCGAAAGGGAGGGTCGTGGAAAATAAATCATTGGCTTTCTGCCAGGCCAGAGAGAAAAGAGAAAGCCAGAGATCGATCTGTTGCTACGCAAGAGAGAAGAAAAAGAGAGAGGCCAGGAGCGTGTGTTTTTTTTTCGCGTGATAGGAGTACGTTATTCGCGAAGGGAGGAGGGAGAGACTAAGTTTTTAACAAAAAAAAAAAAAAAAAAAAATAAAAAAAAAAAAAAACGAAAGGGTTCGGTAAGGAGAAAGGGAAAAAAAAGAGAGAGAGCCCGCCGGGTTCTTGTACAGAGTTAAGAACAATTTTTTCGAGCATTAAGGTATATTCTACACCTACACACACACACACACACACATACATACACACACACATTTTACAAGGGTGGCGCGCTCTCGCGCGTTACAGGCCCCCGTCAAACAGTCGCACTCCGTGTGCGTTGACAGAGGAAGAACGGGAAAAGAAATCGCGTTCAGTATATATATATATAAATATTATCATCTACTTTTTAACCGTCGCGAGAAATCTGTCTCGAACGCGTTGAAACAAAACACTACAAAAACTGGACCGAGAAGCTTAAA